CAACTGCCAGTGTATTGAGTTTTTGTTTTTGTCAAGCATTAAGAGACTCCAGCATCATGAGAAAGTTTATGAAGTAAAAGAAATAAATGACTTTGAGGAAATTGGCAGCTGACCCTCAGAAGTCTGTTGTTCAAGATGCTGAGACTACCGTTGGTTCCCTGGGACCTCCTCCCCACTTTACCCACAGCATAAAAACCTTCCCACCTCATGTTTGTGACAAGACAGATCTGTGAGATGGCTCTCCTGACTTCTCACTTTGGCCAAATTGAATAAACCTTTTTCTGTCTCCAAGCACTGGTCTCACCGTGTTCGGTTTTGCCAGGGCATTGAATTGGGGGTTGTAGGATAATACTAGAGTAGGAAGGAGCTCATGCGGAGCCGTGACACTCACTGGCCCTAAAAGGTGAGCAGAAACAACTTAAGCTGAGGGAGGGGTAGAAGTGTTAAATTAGATAAAATTTGGACGTCAGATATCAGACTGGATTGGAACTTTTATTATCTTCATTAACAAAAGACCATGACATCCGCAAAGAAACAAAAGATTTTATTTTCAGAGGAGAAACAATCCTAGGATGGAACAACGTGGCTTTGAGGAAACCAAAATGGCTGTTCCAAATGGCAGAAGGGTGTTTGTTGCTTTACACCTCTACAGAGCTGGTACACACACCTCGGAGTCCGTCTAATCTGCATATTGAGCAGGGTTGGGGAAAATCTATGAATATCTACAAAGTTAAGGTGTGGTTTTAGCACTAAAATGAGATAGAATGTGGCTTTGCCAAATGGAAAGGAGAACTATGGGGCACAAAGAATTTGTGCACAGTCTCCACAAGCTTGCTGAAACCAGCTTAAGGTCTGTGGCTAGTCATTAATGAAGAATGTTTAAGAGACCAAGTGACTGACCGTCTCTTCATCCAATCAGAGTTATGGCAAGACAGCAAAGCAGGGGAATGGGGTAGGGTACAGCCATCTGTCAGGGGCCATTAGGAAGTCTTCCTGCTATAGTTGCTTCTGTAGTGCTTTAAGGAGCTGAGTTCTTAATTACAAGAAAAACCTTATGCCAATTAATAACCATGGGACACATGACCAGTCCTTCATCCTGCAAACCATGAGATTCTGGGACTTTTTTCCTTTTTTTTTTTTTTTTTTTATTATTTTGTTAAGTTTGTCTCTCTCAGCCAGAGAGTCCATTTCTTCTATTTTGGGGAGTATATTTTAACATACTAAATAGAGAAGGGTGTATTTTAACATGCTAAATAGAAAAGGTAATTATTACCTGAAAGAGAACGGAAAAAATAAGGGAATTTCCTAAGATGTGGGGAAAAAAGAAGTCTATAATGAATAGGACAGTTTCGAGACAAAATATTGTTGCTGTCTCCTTTCGTGCAGTTTGATCTTAGTTGTTAATTAGGATTTTTAGTGTTAAGTACTTTAAATGTTGACCTAACATAAAAATCAAACATATTTTATTTATTTATCTGAGTTGGACTCCTCCTCTATCGCCCAGGCTAGGGTGCAGTGGCATGATAACGGCTCACTGCAGCCTTAAACTCCTGGCCTCAACAATCTTCCAGCCTCAGCCTCCCAAAGTGTTGGGAATACAGGTGTGAGCCACTGAGTCAGCTCTAAGATTTATTTAGAATGACATACTTAATGTGGTCATGCAGCAGTTGGGGTTTTTTCACACATTTCAGTAGTAGACTAAAATAATTTTCCGGATAAAGCTGCAAGAGAGCTAACTAGAGGTACCCAGCACTGCCCTCCTCCACAACCAAGAACCAAAACAGCTAGTAGATAATCACACTTCAAATATAGCATCAGAGAAACAATGGAATTCTGCAGGAAAATGACAGGAAACCTCTAAGGCACGAAGGACAGGAAAGCCAGGAGAACAGCCCAGCAGGGATTGTCTGGAATCCCAGAGACCTCCAGTTTCAGGGAAAGTGTGAGTGATTGCCAGCAGTCCACGTGCCCACCGCACACTCCTGCAATCCAAGCCAGAGGCGAGCCCCGAGACAAGGATAGGGAGCTGCTCAGAGTCTGCGCAGTTGATTGTTCCGGAAAAGGCGCGCAGGCGGGGTCCCACACCCTCCTCTAACACCTATCCCCTAGCAACCCAGCACCATTTGGGGAGCCCATCTCTCACCTGCATCCTGCACTGGGGCACAGCAGGTCCAGCATCTTCACATCCCTGGAGCCGGGCTGGCCACCATCCGCCCCGGGTTCACCTGGAGGGCTGCAGCAGCAGGCGCTGGTAGGACCCAGCAGTGTGGTGGGGATCCAGCACTCTAGCCCACGTGCTGTGCCAAGTTCCAGGGAACAGGCAGCACAGCACAGGAAAGCTGCCCCAGAAACAGAGAGGGCCAAAGCATGCGCTCCCCAGAGCCCCACAACCCCAGAGCCACCTGTGTAAGGTAGCTGCCACTGACAGCAACCCCGCACCTCTGTACCAGGGCCACCGTGCACTTCCGGTGAGGACATGCTATCTCCACCCGCTGCCGCCACCACCCAAGCACGGGACCTTGCGGACTGATCTGTCTGAGTGGGAGAGTTGAGCGTAAGACAGTCCCACCAGGTGCATCCGCTCCCGGTGCCGCCGGCCCTCTCCCCTGCCCGGGAGCCTGGCGATCTCCCTGTCCCATCTGTAGCTCTGTGTGTGCCTGTGCCCATCAGGAGGCCTGACAAGAAAACCAGCAGCACTGCCAAGGAGTGGAACACAGGCCCAGCCAGCCCGGGGTGGGAGGATAGACACGTCCTGCTCGCTAGTGCCTAAGTCTGTGCGCACTATCTAGAGGCCTGCAGGTAGACTGTCACCACCTGGCACCACCCCCAGTGCGTCATTCAGTGGCCTGGGGACCGTCCTGCCTTGTCCACGACCACTGACATCTGCACACCCCTGGGTGCCTGGCGCCACCGTTGTAAGAGCTAACCTCAGGGAAGCAGAGAGTAAAATGACCGTTACCAATGGAGCTCGTTAATGGTTTCAAACAGTCCGACAGGGAAAATAAGTATGTCCCATAGCACAGTAGGATGACTATAGTTAATGGAAATGTATTACATATTTGAAAAGTCAGAAAACCAATGGGGTAGGGGGCCAGAGACATGTGGAAACAAATGGTCCCTGACCCTCACTGATAATGTGACTGTTACCTAGTAGAGATTTGAGATGTTCCCACACAACAAAAATGACAAATGCTCAAAGTAATGGATATCCTAAATACCCTAACATCATCATTGGGCATTTTATCCATGTATCAAAATACTACATATACCCTGTAAATAAGTACACATATCATGTATCAATAAAAAAAATAGATAAAAGAAATAAAACAACAGTTTCCTTATCAATCTTGATGATAAATAAGAATTACAGAAATCATGCATTCAAATTTGCTTGGCAAATCCTACTGATTTTCTAATAGGCTAGTTTCTGATTTAAATGTAAAAAGCTAATGAATAAAAAAATACTTGTGGAAGCTGATGAATAAAAAAATACTTGTGGAAGTAATTAGAAACTTTTCAATATTTGATTTGTCATTTCTATACTAACTTCTGAGAGAAGATTTAACAAAATTCTAGAACCTAAAAGCTACCCACATGGAGGATGATTTTATCTGAGCCATAGATGGATTTCTTTGTCTTTTTTGTATCATTGAGATCTATTTCTCTGTGGGCAGATGTCAGCACTTGACTAGCCTGAGACAAGGTATAATAATAGAGTGCTATCCCTTCCATGTTTCTTTTATTTAACTCTCTGACAGGTTACTCATACAAGGCCTGTGGCTCATGTAATGACCTACATTATCATTCTCGTGAGATCAGAATTCTTGTTAGTGCTTTTACTGGGTTGGCTCAGCATTCCACTTACCACAACTGTTGGGGAAAGCAGTCCTAAAATAAGCTACTGTTAATCTCCTGGGCTCAAGGAAAAGTCCTCCTTACCGCGCTGTGTAACAGTAACCCACTTTACACCTGAACAGTGATCCTCTTCTCTGCCAGTGGCTTCAATGATTGAGGAGCCCAAAGTGTGAAGAGGAAGTCTCAGTTTCCAGTTCATCAGGATGACTATTATATCCTTATTACAATAGTCTTCCCTCAGGCATTAGAACCTTTATAACCAACAAAAACAGGACCTTGGAAAAAGGAAGCAATGTTTAAATGGATTATTAGGTGTAATAGCATGAGGCCACTACAAATTTGAATCCAAACTCAACATGTTGGCTCACAAACCTGTACACTCTGGCCGTGGCAAGGACAGCAACATATATTGGTAAGGCAAACACTTCATGTCGTAGCACCCAATCCCATACTTGCAAGGCTTTTTTTTTTTTTTTTTAATACAAGCTGGTATCAAGAGTGCCTTCAAATACTAGAAAAAGGTCATGAGATATGTAAGTTTTTTCCCCTAAGCTCTACCCTGATGTTATTATTACTGTAATTTTATTTAGGATAAATTCTTAGAATGTGAAGAAATTGTCAGTATTTCTATTTCCTCTTCATATTATATTATTAAAGTATTATGATCTATGGTCAATTTTTTAGGGTACAGACATAATTGAATTGTTAGGTAATTAAAAGTTATTAGATTAAATATCAATATATTAGGGCATATAATTCAAAATTTATGTTAGCACTTATGGTAAAGCAAAAGACAACTACATAATGTTTACCTGAACTCTGAAAAGGGGAATAAGTTTTATTTCCCTGACTTCAGGGACATATCAGGAGAAATTTTTTAAACATTCAATAAAATATTCAATTCAATATGTAGTGAAGAGTTGAGAAATAATGTGTTAACTAGGTCATGAAAAATAACCTTTTTAAAAAAATATGCATTTCCTCTGAGGTTTTCACCTATACATGAAACTGTGAATCCTTATTTGTACAATGAAAACACAATTTGAGGAGAATCTCTGATGAGCTGTGGGTTTATGAGTCTTTTCTCATTTCATATCATATTAAAGCAAAACATACACATAGGCACACAGATTCTCACACTGAAGATGCAAGATGAGGAAAGATACATGACATTAAATGTACAGCCGAGGAAAAGGAGCTCCATGCACACATCCCAACTTACCTTCAAAGGTATGAAATTTAGTTTTCTTTTTTAATTGGTATGGATTAATATAGTAGTTTCCAATATACTGATACATTGTATTCTTGGACTGTTTCTCTCCCTCTTCTTTTTCTTTTCTTTTCTTTTTTTTTTTGAGACAGAATCTCACTCTGTTGTCCAAGCTAGCATGCCATCGCAAGTGAGCCTACCTCACAGCAACCTCAGACTCCTGGGTTCAAACAATCCTGCCTCAGCCTCCCAAGTAGCTGGGTGGAGGATACCGTGCCTGGCTAATTTTTTAAATTTTTAGTAGAGACAGGGTCTCGCTCTTGCTCAGGTTGGTCTTAAACTCCTGAGCTCAAGCAATCCACCTGCCTCAGCCTCCCGGAGTGCTAGGATTAGCAGGCATGAGCCACTGCACCTAGCCAAGTGTTTTGGTTTTTTTTAATGCTTCTTTCTATATCTCTGTCTGTCTCTTCCCCCTATTCTCTACTCCCCTCTCTCTCATTTTTCAATGTGGCACTACTGCTTATTTGCAATATTTTGTTTGGTTCAATTTCTATGGATATTCTCTCTGGAAATAGATATATTCAACTAAAATTAATAAAGGCTGGGCATGGTGGCTCACGCCTGTAATCCTAGCACTCTGGGAGGCCCAAGCAGGTGGATTGCCTGAGCTCACAGTTTGGAGAACTGCCTAAGCCAGAGTAAGACTTCTTCTCTAAAAACAGCCAGGTGTTGTGGCAGATGCCTGTAGTCTCAGCTACTTGGGAGGCTGAGGTAAAAGTATCACTTAAGCCCAAGAGTTGGAGATTGCTGTGAGCTGTAACGCCACAGCACTCTACCGAGGATGACAAAGTAAAACTCCATCTCAAAATAAATAAATTAAATTAATAATTTAAAATTAATGAATATTTTGGTGCCAGTCGTTCACCCTCCCATCATTCACAAAATATGGCATTTTAATGCTAGTTTTTAATTCAGCCTGTCAAAAATGTCAAAATAGGTTTTTCACCAGGTTGACTCAGAACTGAGTTTGTATACTAACAATCCTTTTAATTTAGGACTTCAAGTATACCTTCCGTCTTCGATTCAAATTCAGCCTGCCACCTTGATGTGATTTGGCAAAAGGAGATAAACAGAAATGAAAGAGGCAAATAAACAGTGTTAGAGAGACTCTATGTCCCATGCTACTGCTTTCTAAACAGTTCTCTTTTTATCTTATTTCCGGATTTTTGTTGAGGTAGTACCACTCAGAATACACTTCCCAACTTTTCTACACATGGGAATTTTACTTTGGAGTTCTTCCTCAAGTATCATCTAGATCATTAAAAATCCATTACTTCCCCTAGAGAAATATTTGCTTATATTATTTTCATTTCTTCCACTGGCCTTATA